GTGAGGAAGAATTTCTTCACTGAAAGGGTTCTGAGACACTGGAATGGGCTGCCCAGGGAGGGGGTGGAGTCCCCATCCCTGGAGGGATTTAAAAGCCGGGTAGATGAGGTGCTGAGAGATCTGGTTAGTAGTGGACATGTACAGTTGGACTTGATCTCAAAGGTCTTTTCCAACGAAACAATTCTATGATTCAACATGTGGAACAGGGACTATATTATACAGCAGTACATTTTAAATGAACTGCAATTATGTTTACGCATTTCCAAGTTTATAAGGCTGCAGCCACAGATGTATTTGATACATGAGTACCCTGGTTCAAAAAATTAATTAAAGAAGCTAGTAGCATCAAGTATCTGACATTATTATGCCTCATCAACTAATTGGCAAAATGATGTTCCATTCAGACTGTAGCTGCAACACTACTGATTTACTAATTATGCATTTGTTCAGTAAACATGTTGTTGGAGCAATATATTAATTTTTTTTTTAATTGGCTGTATGATTTCTTAGGAAATTCAAAACTCCTTTTGCTTTTCTCCTTCTCCCAACACTGTAAGTGTCCAAAATGTCATTGATTAGAGCTTGATTTCCCCAATATGACACTGTAGGTACAGGGTTGAGGCCAAGCAATGTGCTGGTGTTCCAGGCTGAAGGGGCTTCTCATCACTCAAATGGCTCTTGGTAGAGAGGCAAAGAAAATCTCAGCATTTCTTACCTCTTGTTCTCTATTTCCATAAACATGGCCACCCCATTAGCCTGTGAATATTGACAGTTTTGGGGAACTGGTTTGTGATGTAATGGATGGAATTTAAACAGACCAGCCTTATTCTTATTGTATAGTTCTTTATAGATCTACTTGTAAGGATGATATCATCTTCCTTTACAATCACTGGAGAAGTATAAAAAAGAGGACAACTCTGGAACTGACTGAGACAGAAACCTGCCCTAAGAGGGCACTTGTACTTTTTACCATCTCCAAACCCTTGGTACTATTTTTAGAAATTTCAAGTTTATTTTGTCATTCCCTTCATTCAACTCTCAGTGTCTGAAAATTGGATGTGTTGAGCTAGGGCTGAGGACGAGGTCAGAAATAGGTGGGACAGTTATATCTCAAAAGGTTTTTTTCAGAGATTTTTGGCAAGTTTTGCCATGTCCACCTGCCCTTCCCCATGTCTTCCACCCAGCGTTAGCCTAGCTCTAGAAGACGCAGTAAAGGCAATAGTCCATTAAGTTCACAGAAATATATGTGAACCTGCTGTCACTTCTAGATTCACGTCCACAAATAAATCTTTATCTGAATTCATAGGTTCTAGAAATGTAGAAATTTCATGATAATTTTGTTGTGCAGTCATGAAAGTGAGTGGACGGGCTCTTTTGGAGAGTTTGGCACAGGTGTTCAATTTGGTCACTCATAATCAATATCTTTATGCCCATCAGAGGCAAATAATGTAAGACTGCAAAGAACTGTATTAAAGGAAAAACTGACAAAACAGACTTTCCAGCCTACTGTTTCATGAACCAGTTGATGCTCAATTAGTTCATGTGTTAAATGTGTTCAGTACTTACTACATTTGCATGGGGAACAAATTTGTTCTACTGCTCAGCAGAGCCTCAACTGGGTCATGGTTGAGAAACAGATGACAATTTACAGCTGAGTGCACCAACAGAGGCTCAATTAATTCTCAGCTCCATTTTAATGAAATGAAGAGTGGCTCATTGGCGTCCACAAATCTACTCATGCTCAGTTTTCAGCTGGCAAAATAGTGATTACAACAGCGAAGTTCAAATTCACCCTTTCATGGCCAGCCTTTTGCTCTTCACACTGTCATACTCTTTTCAGTTTCCTATTCTGATAAAAAAAAAAATAAAGATGAGCTGTTACTTCTCCCACTGCACAACATTTTGAGAGAGAAGAATTTACAGCAGTGAAGAGGTTAAGCAACTAAAACCTGAAGTGGGTCTTCTGTTCCTTTTGTTAAGCTTCAGACAGTGCTACACTGTAGAGGAAATAATGTTCCTTGTGCTATTGCCATGATAAATAATATTAATTTTATTGTTTCTTTCTCCTTCTAGCTGTAGCCTTGTGAATCCCCCTAATAAAATAAATAAATAAAAAAATAAAGCTTTAAAAGATTAAAGCTTTTACTGACTGTATAGGTGGTTTTGAATATCACACTTTACAGAGCCCTATGGTGGCCACAGCAAGAAAGACCTTCTCAAGACTAATTCTGACTTCATGATCAGTCCTGTAATGGAGAACATAAATCTGTGGTAGTCCACAGGGAAACTAAGAAGATCTGCCCTCTTCCTGTCTCCAGTTTTTCCTTAGCCTTCCCTTTTCATGTTGCTCCTTACTCCTTGCATGTGAAAGTTTCCTGAGGTTCTCCTTCTGGAGGAAGGGGTCAGGTACCACTCAGGTATCCCCCAGATACCTCAGTCCAGGCAGGATCAGTGCTTCTTTCCAGGCTGGAGGCTCTCAGGATCCCCCCTTTACTTGGGAGCAGCCTGCAACCTGCTTTACTCCCACACTGACCAGGAAGCCCTTACTGCTGATCAGACTCATAGAATCATAGAATCATAGAATCATAGAATGGTTTGGATTGGAAGGGACCTTAAAGATCATCTAGTTCCAATTCCCCTGCCAGCAGCAGGGACACCTTCCACTAGATCAGGTTGCTCAAAGCCTCATCCAGCTTGGCCTTAAACACTTCCAGGGAAGGGGCATCTACAACTTCCTTGGGCGACCTGTTCCAGTGTCTGACCCATTTGATGTCTCTCTGCATTTGGAAATCTAAAAACAAAAAAAATCTATCAAAATTGGTGTTCTAATGATTAAATAGTTTTTTTCTGGCATCAGTACTCAGTAGAAGTTTTTGCTTCAACAATAGGAAAAAGAACATGTTAAATTTAAATCAACAGATTTACTACATTTTAAAGTAATTCTGCCTTGGGACAAATATTCTGAGAAACAAATGGATCCCCCTTTCTAAGGATATATGTATTTTCTGCTGTATAATGTACAAATACCATATTTTGAGTTCTGTCTTGAATAGCACCTTGCCAAACTTCAGAGCTCAGCAAATGAGATGAACAGAGAAGAGAAAGTGGATTGTAAAAGCTGCTTCCATTTTACAGCTTTCCATCCTATAAATACTGATTTTATAGGTAGGAGAGAGTTGATGAGCAGGGGGCTGGGAGAAACGGAAAACAAACCAAAGGTCTGAGCTTCAAATAAATTGTACCAACTGAGTAGGTCAAAGGAATGACAGTGTCGGTCATCCAAGAATGACTCTTCTTCCTATGAGGTTCCAAGTCCCAGAAGATAAATGTGTAAAGGTTAGACAGACAGATAGTAAGGATCCTGTCCTGGAGTCAGTGGAAGCTATTAGTTTCACTTGGGCTTTGGATGCTGTAATTTATTTCCTTCAGTTAAAGCCAATATCCTGTCCCTACTGATGCTCAGATATCAAACACCTTCTGCAGCAAAGGTATTACCTGCTTGTGCTGGGATGTGCCAGGGAGCTGGTTTTATCACTTTCTGTGCAAGTCCCTGGGCAGGTTATAAACATGGTTATAGTTGGAAGAAAACAAATGTTGCTCCCCAATTGCTTGAATGAAAGCTTGTGTTCAGGCATGGGGATTAGATCTATTTTGGGACATAGTAAATGGAGGAAGCTTGGACCAGCTTCATTCTTTATTGCTGGCCCAAGTGATTTCTAAACCAGGGAGCAAAGCATGAGGTACCTCAATCACGCTCAAGCATCCTTTGCATTGGCAGCACAGGTCAGATGTCATAGAATTACAGAATGCTGTAAGTGGGAAGGGACCCACAAGGATCATTTGGTCCAACTCCTGTCCCTGCACAGGACAAGCCCAACATTCACACCATGTCCCTGAGGGCCTTGGCCAAATGGTGCTGGAATCTTGTCAGGCTTGGTGCCATGAGCACCTCCCTGGGGAGCCTGTTCCAGTGCTCCACCACCCTCTGCCTCAAGAACCTTTTCCTCATGGCCAACCTCACTCTCCCCTGCCACATCTTCCTGCCATTCCCTCTGCTCCTGGACACTCTCCAGGAACTTTAGATTCTTTTTATCCTGTGACACCCAAAACTGCCCCCAGTGCTGGAGGTGAGGCCGCCCCAGTGCAGAGCAGAGCGGGATGATCCCCTCCCTCGCCCAGCTCGCAGTGCAGTGCTGGGTGCCCCCAGGACATGGGTGTCCCTCTTGGCTGCCAGGACACACTGTTGGCTCATGTTCAACTTGCCATCAACCAAAACCCCCAGATCCCTCTCTGCAGGGCTGGTCATGAAGCCATAGCAGCCACAGACTAAAATTCCAGGCAGACAGGTAAGTGACCCTCCAGGAGTGAGTGGCTCTGCCGCAGTGAAATTCTCACACCTGGGAATTGGCAACGTGTCTGTGTGGGAAAAATTGACAGAAACCAGGGACTTACCTGCTGCTTTAGTTTTCAGTAGAGCTGATGGTCTGCTTGGCTCCCCAATTCCAACACTATTGCTGGCAACCACACGAAACTCATACTCAACCCAAGGGCTTAAGTCAACCACTGTTGCCTTGTGAGTCCTACCATTAATGACTTCAGGAGCTAAAGGTAAAATAAACATGTCATGGCAATTTATTTTTGGAGTAATTAAAGGTATACACAAAAAATACAAGGCAACTCAGAAATTGCTCACCTGTTGCAACTGCCTGCCATCCCACTGAGAAAGGAGTCCTCATCTGGATGCTGTAGATCTGGACTGGACTATTATTATCTATTCCAGGCTTCCAGGATAACACAGCAGTAGTGCTAGCAACATGTTCAACTTTAACATCTTCTGGTGGACCTGGGGGGCCTAATATGATCAGCGTTTTGAGATAAAGGTATTAGGAAGAGAAGATTCATTGCTGGGTTGGGTTGGGCAATTCTGACTTTCTCAACTCAGTGGAATTATGCATGAAGCTGCAGCTTCATAAAAGCAGCACAATCTTTAAATGATGGCTTCATGCCTGTATGTCATTTTTCCAATTAATGAGGGATTTTGAGTCAGGAAAATTAAAGTCGTTTTGTTACTAACATGAAAACTACAAACAAGGGCATGATTTTATTATTTTTTTTTAATCTGGCAAAGAAAATTATGCAATGTGTCTTTTGTTGAACTATCCAACATTGTCATAATTCCTCTTGAACTGAATTAAAACTGAGGTTTAGAAAGAATGCACGATGGTGCATTACATGGATTTCCGATTTCTGATAGATTTTAGAGGGTCTGCTCCCATCACAGCTTTTCTCTTCCTGCTGTCAGTAAAAAGATTACCTAGCTGACCAAAGAAAATAATTTTTCATATTATCTTCAAATAAAGGAATCACATCCCTTGTTTTTTTTTTCAGCCTGCACAGTGACCCAGAGATGACCACCAACGAGCAGGTGACAGCAGTCCACTGAAAGTAGGACTTCCCTATGCCCTGACTTATTGACCTGTGTGGCCAGAGAAGTTCACCTTCCAAAGAGGCCACAGCAGAATTGGGTTAGCTGCACACTAGGATCGTGCTGGCCAGAATCTCAATCCAATGTTGAGGTCAAGGGTAGAAGATATATAGCATTTCACTACGGAAATGTTGAATTGATCTCCTAGGAATCATTTAAACAACAGCTGATGTTAAGAATTTCTAATTCCCCCAGAAGATGCACGCATCTACAATTAACAGACATACCTCTTACAATAATATCTACTGTTGCAGACTGACTGTCTAAAGTTGTTTGTACCATGCACACATATTTCCCAGAATGATGTAGTTGAATATTTCTTATCATCAAATCCCCAACAGATTCCTGGAGATACAAAGAAAGTAAACTAATCACTCACAACATGCTTTCCATACTGGACATTTTTATAAATTGCTCAATATTAATAAAAAATTCAGCTTTTAAATTAAAATATTCATAGCTATCATCAGTTTATTTCATGTGGACATTTTTATTATAGCTTCACAAATAACTCAAGCGCCTTTATGAAATTTAAGAAAGAAAAATAAATGGCTGCAGCCCTTGTAAAGAAACAGTGATTTGCCATGCATATAAATAGCGATGGAAGAATTATGATAGATATTTGTGTCATCTAAAGACTGTGGCAAATAGTTTCATTAAGCACTAAGGAGTTTAAAAAAAACCCTTACTCTCCCAATTCTTTCAAAATGATGTATTCCTCTATTAAAATCAATTGCATTGCCATTGAATGACCATGTGAACATCACACGAACGGAAGGGTCGTGAGACACCTGGCAAGGAAGGACTATGCTTTCTCCAACTGTTACATCCATATTAGAAGGTGGAATAGTAATTACAGTCCTTTCTGTGGAGACAAAAAATAATTCCTTTTCATTAACATGCTTATAAAAATAGTAGATCTTGAATGAGTCTTGTACCATTTGTCAAATGATTTAAAATTGGCCCAAATGTCCCATAATATAGAAAATTATCTCTAATACAATGATGATTTCAGAACACTCTTACCCCTGTGTAGCCTATTACTTTTGCAGTACCAATACAACGAGCATGCCTCTGAGAGCAGAGAGCGAGCAGATGTCAGAGGCAACATACTAAATTAGTCATATGTATCTTTGTAAAGCCCATAGTCAATAGATATGATTTCAGCTCAAAAAGTGCAGACTTCGTGATTAAGATCGTTCAAAATATGCCCTCAAACTTGTAAAAAAAATCTCTATTTATGGGAAACTGCAGCAAAAGCAAAATTGCTGTTCATCTCCACTTACTTTATACATCGAGATCCTTAATCTATATTAATGTTCGTTGTAGTTTACTGCACAGTGTTGCTGATGTTACAGCCTCAAAGAAGATATCTCACAGACAGAACAACTATTTCTGTAATTTTTTTAACCCCTTACACTAAGAAATGCACTTGCAGCTTTTATTAAGGGAAGCAGCAGCTCGCTGAAAGGGAAAGAAATGGGCTTCTATGACTTCATTTTTGTTGATATGACTGGCAGATAGATTAGAGATAACAACCACTTTGTTGTAAGCAATTCCTTTGAATAAAGCTTTTGTGCATGAAAGTGGTGAGAATTTAGAGGCACATAAATAAAATGAGAGTAGAATCTATTCAACAATATTAATAAGTTCTGCAAATGATGTGAGAGGAGGAGAAGAAAATTTACATGAGCTGTATTAGTTCAGCGCTCGTTCTGGCTTAATGCTGTGTTAGAAATGTACTTGAAAATTCAGGATTTTGGTTTTACCAAGATCTTGGTTCCAAAGGATTGATGCATAATAAGGCATCCAACCTTTTATCTTCATACATATTTTCGTTCAGACTGTCACTATCATTGCAGTAACTCATTACTATGTGAGTAGAGATAGACAATATGGGCTGAAACTTGAAGGGCTTCTTCCCAGCATCTGAGCTGTGCTGGGTGGGTGACCATCAGTGGTCAAGTAGAAACAAGGTAGAATGTTGTATTTTCTACTAACTTTTTGAAATGAAACTGGATCTCATTAGTTTCTGCTAGATGCTGCAGGCATCAGGTCATGTTTTCCAAGGCAAACAAAGAAAGAACTTGTCTGATTTTTGTCATTACAGACAAATTAGGTGTTTTTTTTCTGGTATCGTTAAGAGTTATTGCTCAAACTTGGAACCACTTTCTCAGATTTCTCTGTGTACTCTGATTGCTCTTCACAACCATGTAAAACAATCTTTGTGGCAGCTCCATCACGTTGTGTGAAGTCAAAGACAGCAGAAATATGAAGGGCTCAGATGACTGTCTTGAAGATACTTGATCATTAGGTTAAAGAAATCTCTTCCTCTCCCTGGAAGCAGTGTGTCAGATGCAATAAATTCCAGATGATTCAAGGGCCGTACTCTTTGTTGGCACAACTCCACTGATTTCAGCACACGCTGGCAAAGAACTTGGCTCCATAAATCTCAGATGAAGTAATTCCATTGTGAAGTACAGGTAACTTTTATAGAATAATATTGAAAAGTACCTGGGAACTACAGAGGACCTCCACAAAGTTTTCTTTCCTTGCTTTTTCCTCCTGTAGTTCTTATTCACACAGCTAAAATAGAACTGCATGAATAACACTTTGAGGAGAGAAATTCTATTACTTGCAATAATGCTGTATATGTTAAAAGAAGAAAAAAGAAATAATACCCTGGCATAAGTTAAATAGCTGGAACTTCTCTCTGCCACTAGCAGGTGAAGCACGATGTGCTGGCCTGATGTGGTCCTCCAAACACAATATCCCTTCCTTCAAAGCCATCCTTTAAGACTCGCTCCTTCCTTAAACCTGTAAAGGGTGCATCTCTATACTGAGCTTTCGAAGCCAATGAAGTAAGGCACTGAAGAAGTAAAGTCTTCTCCTGAACACCACAATTGACCTCAAAATGGAAATTCTACATTGCTCTGAATGTTTATCACAGAATCATAGAATGGTGGGGTTGGAAGGGACCTCTGGAGATCATCTAGTCCAACCCCCCTGCCAAAGCAGGTTCTCCTAGATCAAGTGGCACAGGAAAGTATATGGTATGCTTTCTTCCAGATTCCACTTGGGTTTTGTCTCCTCTGTCTTTAGCTGTGCAGGAGAGATGTCTCCACACATATTCTCTCATAAACGATGCAAAAGGTTATGCCTGGTTTACTAAAGGGTGTCAAAGAGTCTGGCAAGTCATCCTGGGCTACCCCTCACCTCATATAGCCCCTGGGTCTGACCTGTGTGGTGGAGCTGGAAGAAGCAGGAGGTGGGAACTGGCTCCTCTGAAACGACTGGAAAAGATCACCTCCATATCTCCTGTCTCCTGTATGGTGTAACTGCTGCTGGGAATGGAGAAGGCCGGCCCTAACAAGGCTCATTTACAATGTCAACCAATCTTTCCTGAGCCTTCCACGGAATGAGCTCATCCAGCATTAATAAAACTTTGTGCCACTACTGAACTTTCCATGTGCCAAGTACTTTTTGTCCTTCAAATTTCCCTTTAAAATAACCACCCTTCACAAGACCCACATCACCTCTACTGCCACAAGACAAAATACCACCTCATTTTGTAACTCCTGCTGCTCTGTGTTGGATGGTTGGTCACCAGGATCGGTGCATTTTTGACTTTTCTACAATACACTGTGTACAATTACAGCATTCTATAAATAAGTAAAATACTATAAATAAAAGCAATTTATTTCTATGGAAAGGTCGAAGTAAGAAGAGACAAGAATGATACAAACAGTATTGCATAGAATTTGTAATCAGATTCAACGTTCTCAAACCCATGGAATACCAATAGAAAGTAAATTTTTTTATAAAATCTTTAAGCCTCCATCAAAGCCAGTTGTCAATTGTAGAGAAAGGGACCATTAGCTCCAACCAATTGTAATGAAATTGACTGGGAATTTTTTGAAACTTTTCTTCATCAGAAGATTCCAATAATATTATGATTGCCTCATTAGGGCTGTCATGTCATTTCTTGTGTCATTATTTGATCACACATGCAAAGAGGTCAGAACTAAGACATCAGTTACAGAAGGACTTCCTTAATAGAAGGAATAAAAATTCCAGAGATCATTTATCTGTTAAAACCTATGGAATACCTCCTTAGGGAAAAGATAGAGATTTTGGAACCCTCTAGTGAGCTGTTATTTTGGAATATCAAAACATAAAGGTTTCTTCTTATAACACAACAAATCCTAATAGCTATATGCTCTTAGTATTATAAGTCTATTTTCTTATTGGCATGAACCTATTAATAAATAGGTTCCACCAAATAAATATTGAACACTGTCCTGTTGTGAATTATATCGGGTTTGTGTGTGAGATGTGGTTGTTCAGTCATGGTAGCAAAAAAAATCCATTTTATGGTGGCATTATAATCCTCTTGTATCACTTGTTCTAGTCTTCTCATATGCAGTGATACCACTGATGTAGAGTGGTTTACTTGTGTGATATTTTCTGCTTCTTTTATGGGGTTGTCTTTAAGATTTCCACCTCGAATACTTTTAAAAGCTTCTTAAAAGCTCTTGGTTCTACATTATCCATCTATCTTGCTTAGCAACTGCAGACATGCATTATATGGCAAATCCTATTCCAAAGGAGAAAATAGATAAGATGTTGTGAGTGCTGGAGGTACAATAAAGACTTCTCACACAAAGGATAAACAACTCAATGAGCAGCAATAAACTTAATTTGCACATTAGATATGCTTTTCCAAGTTCTGACATTTCAGTTGAAAATAATGCTGAAGCAATGAGGCCTATAATTGAACAGCCAAAACTTCTCCAGAGGGGAAACAAAAACAAATGTTCCCTGCAAACAAGATCATTTTTATACCATGTTGTTACTCAGTGTTTTAATAAACTTCATAAATGCCAAACAAAATATTTTTTCCATGTTTTAACGTGACTTTTTTCCCACATTGCTCCATTAGAAAGTATGGATGTGATATGTGAAATGCCATATAACTTTAATGAAGTCAGTGCTGCCTAAACCCTAAACTCCTCAGTTTATTCATTGCTAGCTGTGCTGGAACTTCGTCTCAGATTAGACATTGCACTGCATCAATGCTAATTGCTCTTTCATAATATGAGTACCAAAAAGATTTTTGCCAGATGCAATAGGTTAGGGAGGAGGTCATGCCTGCAGGCTACAGCAACCATTCTGAAGTCATTGAAAACAAGAATATTAAGGAAAAAAAGTTACAAATTACATCGAATAATGGGTTCTTCTTGTAAGTACAGACATTATTACTGTTAGCTGTTTGGCAAAACTGATTAATATGCTTACCATACTCTCAGAAGTTCCACTTTTTAACTTGTTCTGCTCATTTAAAATCAACAAATACGATTACTTTTCTAAGAAAACATTTGCATTGAAAAGATCATGCAGGAGCAAAAAAAAAAATTTAAAAAATTATAAATTGGCCTCAGTTTTCCTTCAGCTGGGATGCAGAGAAAGAGCGAGTGACTTCAGGATCTGTGGAAATGCAACATATGCAACATATATCTGCCCCACGCTGAAGAAAATAAACCCACCTGATTTTCAGACTACTTCAGAACCTCTTATTTCTTTTTGGCACCTCAGCTTTAAAGTGTCTTCTGCAGTCTCAGGTGTGATATAAATTGTAAATGGGCTGAATAAACTCACTCGAGCACCCTACCCAATGTCCCCTGAGCAAATATCATTATTAATGTGACTACTTGTTTCTGTGGATATCTAGGGAGACCTCCCTGATAAATAAATTGATCATGGGAGTGGTGAGGTCATCAGGTTTTCTTTACTGCAGGCAGTGGAGAGCTGAGTTTCAGCTTTAAACTGCAAGTAAAAAATCTGTCAATGCTAGCACTGCTTGGCACAGACTTGGGCATCCCAATGAAAAAAAAAAACAACTAAAAACAAAACCAAACCCACATATTTTCTCATATTCATAAAGCACAAAAGAAAAAATGTTAAAATACCTTTCACAATCAGGTTCCCTGAATTTCTGGCAACTCCAAACTGATTTGTTGCTATACAAGTGTACACCCCAGCGTCTGATTTGGTGATGTTATAGAGCCTGAGACTGCCATCCTCTAGGAAGATGATCCTGGGGAAAAAATAAACAAATAAAAAAAGAAGAAAATAAGACTTCTGTTATAGGAACTGTGATAGAAATGCAATGCTACTTTTAATATTTAAATACGTCTATTATATATTTTCCCCTTCTACAACAAACTGAATATTTATCAACCAATTTTCACCTCTGCTTATTATTGATTTCTACATTAGGAATGTTATATTGACACACTGGAGTTGACCATTAACTTATCTAGCTGACTTTCTTGCAGCAAAATGTGGAGTCTCAAGAGAAAGAAAGAAGACCCAACTTGTTACCTAATTGTGCTATATTTTACCATGGGGGGCTTTATTTTCAGATCTCCGTGCTCCTGTGTCATACTAATGTTGTGTCTGATCCCAGCCGCCTCTGCAATTTTTGTCAGGATTATTAAAAGATATTAGCAGAGCAGATGAGATGCTGAAATGTCATCTCAGAAGCCAAGGAGCCAAATGAAATACATCACTGTCTCATGGGGGCCTCAAATCACCTTATTAGTCGTGATGTTTTTTACAGCAGTTTGCAGAGGATTGGGTAAATTGCATTTAATAGTAATTTCAGGACCACTCCTGGGTTTTATGGATAAAATTAATTTCTGAGCTTGTTTATATGCTTCTTCATGTGAATGAGATACTTTAGGAGGTAAGCCAGGATGGAGCTTGGCATGTGTTTTCCCCAGGTAAGCTTTCACTGCATGCCTGGCACATTTTTGCTTTTACAGACAAGGGCAGCACTTCGAGGTTTGGGGATTTTCTTCACAAATTTACAGAACACCTATCTGTCAAAGGTAGAGAAATTAAAAATGAAAATGGAATTAGGTAATTGATGAACTTTTGGACAGAAAATAATATTATTCTGTAATGTTTTGTTAATTTTGTGTCAGTCCTTCCATCAACCTGTTGCACCTGATAGATGTTGAAGTTCTTGGTCAATTTTTTCTGAGTTTCGAAGGACAGTGGGCTGAAAGACATGAAGTTCCTGGAAGTTTCGTGAAAATGGGGTTATAGTCTCTATGTACAGCTCCTCTTGGCAATAAGGCCACTGCATAAGCACACTCCTTAGTAGGCATCAGAGAATCTACACCCAACTGGGGAAGAGCTGCACTCAAATGTCACACTTTCTTACCTCTGACAAAATCCAGCTGCAAGTCATAAATCCACAGGAAACCAGTCTTCATTCACTCCAGCGCTCACAGAAGCACTGCATTGTTGTTTTTTATACTCCTCTTTTAACTGACATTTAAATCTAATACAAGAATCCTTTTATAAAAAGAAAATATCTAATTCATGCATCACAGCTTGGGTATTTAATATTTATTACTAACAACATAAGATTGGACGATGTAATGAATTATTAAAGGAAACGAACAACAACAAGAGCAGAAGTTGAAGCTGGCAGTAATATCATAGCCATTAAACACACAAAAAACATCCTCGTGTCTTGCTGCATTCCACTCTGGTATTTATAGGCTTGTAGCTATATGTGTAACACACATTAAACCTTGTTCTGATTCCCGTTACATGTTCCCAGCCTCTCTGCTGATGAGGAGAAACACTATAGTTGGATTTCTGGTGGTCTTCTCACCTACATCCCCCCC